TAAACATTTCTTTTTTTAGTATACTATGTACTATTTTGTCTATATTCTTGATACTCCAACTCTTCTGCATTGGTCTGATTATTATTTGGCTCTTTGCTTCTTTTACCAGAGTCAACATTGTCTGATTATTCTTTTAAAGCTTTCGAGAGCTATATACTTTTCTTGATCATCAAAATTTTTTGTTAGATTGGCTAATCTATATCCCTGCAAATATAAAGTTTGGTAATTTTGCTAATTACTTCTTTATCATTTAATCTGTTGTGCAAACTTATGATTTGCTCGTTTAGTAATTCTAAGCTTAGCTCTCTAAAGTTATCTATATTTTTGTGTACAACTATATAGTTAGGCATTGTAATTTGCAAACCTAATTTATTTTTTGCCAATTTTAATATTGATTAATAGACTTTATCTATTACTCTTTTGGGTACTCTTGATAGTTGCAATAAGTAGCACAGTTTTGGAATAATATACATATTATTAATATATGCTAATTGGCTTACTGTAGGTTTTTTCTATTTTAGTATTTCAACTATCTGCTAAATAATTCTTCTTGCTCTTTGATATATATACCTCTTGTTTATTCTACAATTAAGCTATATCCCAAGCACTCTTGTTATGCTACTCGCTTTTTCTTTTTTAATCTTCTTATTGCCAAATATAATATATCACTTCTCCATTTTGATGAATACTATAAGGCTTAATTTTTTCCCATTAATCTGTATATCATTAAGCTCAAAAAATTTATTTGCTATTGCTAGAGTTTTTTCTATTGTTTGCTTATTAGAAGTGATCTATGTAGTGTCATCTGCATATACTACTACTGTTACTCTAACTTTTTCTTTCTTGGCTTTGTCCTCTTGTGTTAGATCTAGGTTTGGAGCACTTATAGTATAGCCAAGTTCTCTATTCTTCTGTATTCTTGTTAATAGTGGATCATAGAAGATACATTAAAATAGTAGAGAAAAGACCTCCTCTTGTTCTATTCTATCATTTATTTTTATTGAGTTTGTAAAACCTACTGCTATTATTATATATAATCTTCTGCTTTCAAAAAGTGAAATAATTAATCTTATTAATTTGGGTAGTATTTTAATTCTTTTTATTATTTTTTTTAGTATATTAAGCAAGACAGAATCGAAAGCTTTTTTCATATCTTGTAAAACCACCTATAGTTTAGTATCCTTCTCTTTTGTGTCTTCTGTTATTATATTAAGTATATGTACTAAGTGCTCTGTAAAACCACTTGGTAACTCTGCAAAATTCTAGCTATGAAGAAGTTTGTATTTAACTAAGTTTTTAGATAATCTATTTGCAATAATTTTTGTAATATATTTTCTAAAAGTTTTTAAAAGAGCAATTGGTCTTATGTTTTCTAAATCAAAATTCTAGCTTGTACCTTTTGGAATTGGATAGATTTGTGCTTTTTTCTACTTCTCTGGTATAGCTAATTCTCTTATACAGAAGTTTGCAAATAGTCTGAAATACCCTTGAGTTGATGTACTCTTGATGAAACAAATCAAATAGTACCAAAATTATTTAATTTGAACTAACAAATCACGAGTTATAATAAATTTATTTTAATTACACTATAATACCTATACTTATCTTAGGCTCTATAGTTTTATTAGCAAAATTTTGGGTAATTCTGGTCAAATTTTTTGGTTATCACTCTTAGCCAATCAAAATTAAGAATTTGCTATAAAATTTTGTTGTGAAGCTAAGATTAAGAAAGCTAGATCAGGTATATAAAAATCTTATTTTTTAAAAAACTACTAATATGCAATTTGAAATTTCTAATATAAAAAAATTCCTTGTAAAAACTTGATACAATATATCAAAATATTCTAATTTCTTGTTTAATTTTAATGTAGATTTTTTAATTTAAAAATATTATGCATATTAAAATTGGTTTTATTCTTTGAAGAGATCTGATTGGTGCATATTTATTAATCTCAAGCTAATAAAATTAAAGATCCCTGGTAATAATATAATATACATTTTGAAAATATCTTAGCAATTACCTATTTAATCTATAATATAGAATAAAATAAAAAAGTATTCATCAATTTTAGATAGGCAGTTATCATGATATTATTGATCAAAGTTTGAAAAAACTTAACTGCTGACTTTGTTTTAATAATTACCTGAATTCTTTTTGACTTCAAATGATAATATCTTGGTAAAATTTTTTCTATTAATTCCATGAATCCATAAAATAAAAATAAAAAAAAACTTTTATTGATCCTGAATATACAATACTGCAATACATGAGTTTATAAACATATCGCACTTAGATTTGATTAACCAATTTTGATAATTATCATTACATGAATTATTAAACGTTTAAAAGCAAAAAGGGCGATTGAATTCATTTTTTTAAAAAAATTCAATATATTAGCTCTAAAATTTCAGATCAGGTTCAGTTCAAGTTGAAGTTCTAACCTGAAAGTTTTCAACCTAACCTGACTCAAAATTTCAGGTTAGGTTCGGGTTGACTTATAACTCAACCCGACCCGACTTGTTTAGAGCACTATGCAGGACTTTGCCCCACTTATACCCAACTGCCCAGGATATAACTATTACTAATAACCCAGATGACCAGATTATTTACACAAATGACTTGGTCATTTAAATTTTGAATAAATGACCTGGTCATTTACTATCTCTGCTTAAAACCGATATAAAATCTTTCCACCATGCATACTAGTTTTGACAGGGTATACTGCATAAGTTATCCTATAATAATCAGATATCCGAATAATATCTGGATATCCAGATTTTTCTTAACCACTAACTTTTGGACACTCTAATTTTAGATGATGTGATTCGGATCGATAGTTTATAATTAATTTTTTTGTAAAAAATTTTTTCTATTCAAATATAAAATAAAAAGTATGATATCTAATTAACAAATTTTACTAGTATTAATAGCTAACAAAAAATGCAAAAAATAGTATTCAATAGAAGAGATGGTTGCGTGACTTCCATCTTTAGATATCCTCACTATATACGTAATTTTCATCAAAATTATTACATTTTTACAAAAGCCTTCAAAACAGCCAGTTCTGTATAAAGAAAGGTATATAAATCTTGATTTGCAACAGAGATTTTCATTTTATCTAGTACAGTTTGTAAGTGGCTAGCCAGGTCTGTTACATTCTACCAATTTTAAAACCTCGAGTATAATACGTGACTAAAAGAATTTTATCATATAGCAGTATAATGTAATGACTTTTAAAAAGAACCACCTTTAATTAAAGTTCTTGTGATTTACACCAATATATAGTACGTATATGGCAAGTCTATTAATGTTACTGAAGGAATATTTTATCTGCCACCTATAATATCCTAGATTATCTAGATGACTCTTATATGGATATAATCTATAGTATTGCATTAGTAAGCAACAATAAAAATACAATATTGTTATGTTTTAATTCTCATTATACTTCTATGATTTTGAATTATTACAATATTATATATATATATACTGTATATTAATTATATATATAGATAAAAGGCTTCAAGTATTCGATTGTTTTGTGAAATCAATATACTATTTTTTTTATCAAAAACATAAATTTACAGTAGATATAATATGAATTTTATATATATTATTAATTACACAGATAATATAATTTGATTTAGAACACTAAAACGCTAAAATACTAAAACACTAAAACATTAAAACACTAAATCACAAAACATGTCACTGTAGGATTCAATTTTGTATAATCTATATCATACGGATTTGAGCAATTCGCATCACTACTTAACACCATCATGTAAATGAATATATGCAGTGTTTATTAATTATATTTAACATTAAGTTCGTTAAAATCTTTTTGAAGTCTAGTGATGTTTTCAACAAGTGATAATATTTTTTTAAAGCGCCTTTACACTTTTCTTTAAATGCAGTGCAGTTAGAACGTGTGGTTTTTGTTGATGATGTGGTGCTTCTTTTAATTTTTGCTTAAACTCGAGAAGAAAAAGGACGATCGTATCAATATTTTGTTCCAAGGTGTTTTCCATATTCTAGTAATAATAAGGTTAACCAATATTGCTTAAACAGATTTTTGATAACATTCGAATGCCTTCTGTTCATCCACCTCGAACAAGTTAATGAAATTTATATTGACAAGTGAATTGGTTGAAAAAATACGCTGTATATTTATCACATATGAGTGCAGCTTATTAATCTTAATAAAATATCTTCTTATGACAATCTAACATTTTAAAAATGATCGATCCCGATTTCGTTTGCTTCCCCTCCCGAAGTTTCGCTCTTGGATTCGTAAACTTCCACACGCGTCTTTAAATCTTCTACAAAATCATCAATCTTCGCTTTCGCTCGTTGCGGATTTGCTACCAAAATTTCAAGTTCCTTAGCCTTCATTTTCGTAGAATTTTTACAAAATAGGTTCGTTAAAATAACTCCACTAGTATTCAATTTCTTACAGGCTTTATCAAAATTGATAACATCGGATACTCGCAATCGCTTGGTTGCCTTGTTCTCTTCTTCAAATCCGATCATGTTCATCTTTATCCCTTTTGACATCAATTTTGTACAAAATGACATTTAATTTCGTACAAAATGACATCAAATTTCACACAAAGTGACATTCAATTTCGTACAAAATGATATTTAAATTCGTACAAAATGACATTCAAATCTGTACAAAATGACAATTAAAATGAGTTTAATTAAATCGCGATATCTCGTGATGTAGTGATCCAATATGGATTATTTTGATACCATTCAAATCCTCTCGATGAGACGATTCGATTGGTACCAAAACCTTCTATATTAGATCATTAAATCACGAGATATCATGATTTAATCAAACTTATTTTAAATGTACAGATTTGAATGTCACTTTGTACGAATTTAAATGTTATTTTATACGAAATTGAATGTCAAATTGAATATCATTTTGTACGAAATTGATGTCAAAAGGGATATACAGAAAAAGCACATAATGATAACACTGATTGAATCCTTAAAAGCGAACAGATACTTCTTTTCTTCGGTATCCTTTATTAAATCGATTAATAAATCGTAATCATCGTCGATCTCGAACCAAACTCGTTATGAATTTCAGAATTAGGTTTATTCTGCGAAAAAAAAAAAAAAGTTAATACCCCCGTGTCTTCATCATCTCCTTCTGCGAGTGATACAAAACCAAATACAGAAATAAGGAGCTAATCAAATTTTAACGCAATAGTCAAAACAAACGTGTTTTGTTTTCCAAGTAAAAAATTGCGTGTAAAACTAACTCGCGTTTATAGTCGGATCGGACATTCGTTTGATTGGCTAACATAAATCAATTGCCTAGGTAACTTATTTTACATTTTAAAGTACTTTTTAAGAACTTGATGTTTCACCAAGTAAAAGCCATTCTTCGCTTCGGCAGAACGTCTATATTCACTAAGCAAAAATAATCGAAAATAATCAGTAATCCCAAGAACTTCACTTAGAAGCGAACTTCTCTATATATTATATAATAGTTCTTATAAATAGCTATATATGAGCACTATATATATCTGAATTTCAAAAAAAAAGGCCCACTAAAAGGCAAACAATAGGCTTTATTATAGTTATATTATTTCGATTGTTTTTGATCAACATACAAATTTGTCTTATTAAAAGCATAAATTTAGATAGAATACGGATTTAGATAAGATAATCATATTGGTATAAAATAAGGTAAAAGGGTAAATCGAAATAAATGAATTAGCTTATTATAGTATTAAAACAATTAAACAACTAATATAAAATTAGATGTGATATGAATGAAGTATGTAACATACAGACATAGATCTTAGGAAAGCTTAAAGTTTTGCCTATATTAAGAAATTTGAATTAATATAGTATGGGTCAACATATAAAATCAACCGGAACCAAAAATATATCTGAATTTTACTGGAAGAATCTTTAAAATGCGAATCTTTCTAACTGCATTACGTGTATAACGTAGTCATTTACAGTAATCAGATGTCTCGATTGCTTTAACGAGACCGTACGAAGAGATAATAATACAGATAGATGCCTTGATTGCTTAACAAGACCGTAAGAGATAATACAGATGTTTTGATCGGGTAACAAAACCGTAAGAGGTTAATAATATAAATTGGTTTAAATATATTGTATGCATGTGTAAAGATACACACAAGTTCATATGAGAGCTTTATTAAATATCCTCGATTAAAAAAAGAACGTTCAATAATAATAATAAAAAAAAGTCAAAATGTTAATGAATCTCTAACAATTGCAGCTGATTTATCACTCAAGAAATTTCTTCCAACCACAACATCTCTAATTATCATTACATGATGATGAAACCTCTCAAAAAAGACCTTAATTTGGATTTGATTCTTTATAGACATATATTTAGTCTTACAAGTAGGCGGTACATCACTTGGAATTCTAATAATGACATTAGTTTCAAAGACTGTATCAGGACCGGTAGGTGTCATAACTATATCTTTTCCATGAACTCGATATTTTGAATGTCGTTTATCACGATTAATAGGAATAATTCCATAATCATCAATTGCATATTTTGTAAAAGTTTTAAGACATGCAACTATTTTTCTAATTCTAAGATCAGGATCATGAGAAGTAAGACGTAAATTAATCATAACTTCGGAATTAATATCAAAAAAAGTTTTTGGGAGAATAGCCTCCCAAGAAAGTGGAAGTTTTCGATTTTTTGCTCTAGATTTAATAACTAAAAGTCTCAATTCTTGTTCATCAGGAATTGACCATTTATAAAATGGTACTAAAACTTCCACACTAGAAGTTTTCTTTTTAGGTTTACGATTAATAGTAGCTTTCAATGTATATTCAACTTTTCCATAATGTGTAATGAATGATTCAATAGCATCATCAGGAATTGGAAATTCAAAGGGTAAATCTAAATCAGTTAAAAGTTCATGGCCAAATTCTGATTTAGTTTGCCAAAGGTAAATACTTTTGTTTACTATAATTTTTTCAGCTCTAACTTTTTTCAAATCAGCCCATTCCACGATTTCTCTGCCAATAAATGTAAGTGTTATATTCTTTGCTTCAATTGCTTGCGGAAATCGAACGTGAAAAGTACCAGAAATTGCTGTAGAACTTATGCCAAGAAAACCTTTTTGAAATGAAGTATTTTCAGGGTGATAAGAAAAGAACATTCGTGGGTCAGCTTGGATATAATCGGAAGGTAGAGGTGATGATACAGCGAATGCCATATTTTTTTTATTAAACGTGAAAAATTTTATTCTTTATTTAGAAATTTTTACTCTCTTAGATATAGAAATGAAAAGAGCAAATTTCTATAAGCACTTTTTTCAAGCGCGATGTTAGAAATTTCAATCTTATATAGCAATTGATTCTTCACTAACGCATATACTCTTCATGTTAATATAAAAGTTTATGACGTAAATATGACATTCCCTTGCATACATCCTGATAAGGTTAGATGTCTGATACGTATATTGAATTTTTTTATAAGGTTAATATAAAAAAAAAAAAGAGGCTGTTAAAAAAACATCCACAAAATTGAATTTTATTTTCGGAGAAATAATCACGAGCACTTGGCAAATATTTGTGTATGTATATTTCAATGAAATGCTGAAATATCGATATACTATTCTTCAAAATTTCGTTTTGGGCTTTTCAGACCCTGAATTTTAAAATGATGTCATTTTGAAAAGCCCAATGAGGGCATTTAAATGACACAATAAAATGAAAAGAACTTTCTTCAAATGATATCATTTTAAGTAAAATTTGAGATCGAATGATTTTGAATAATTTTCTAATCTGAAATAATATCCGATAATAATGTCAGGTTTAGAGTAGTTAGAGTAGATTAGAGTTGAATTGGTTAATAAACGCAACCCAACGTGGGCTAATGATATTCCATTACGACATTTGAGACTAATGAAACTTTCACACGATTTAGTCTTTTGAACAATCTCATAGGATTACCGTCATTATTCTTCTTAGGCTACCTTTTGAAAGCTAGACAATTACACATTAAATTACATATTAAATTACATATTAAATTACATATTAAATTACATATTACATTCAATGGGTATAATTGTACCTGTACTGGTACAACTGCGTACAACTGAATTGAATATTTTTTAAAATAATCTTTCACCGAATATTTCATTTTACATTCACATCCCCATTCTACAAATGACAGCATATATATATGTTGAAGATTAGCTCATTCAACTAGCTCGGAATTCGTAGTCCGACTTCGTAACGCATATTGTTTCATACTTAACTAAGTTATTAACCATGAAGTTATTAACCATGAAGTTATTAACCATGAAGTTATTAACTATGAAGTTATTAACTATGAAGTTATTTATAACAACAATGAATTATACCGGAATCGCTACCAGAAGGCTGTACAAAAATCGGACCAACTAGATTGAAAGTATGAATATACATGTATGTAATTATGAATGATTTACGGCAAACTGCATGATTTTAATATTTTAATACTTTCGCTACTTATCTTTCGCATATCACTATGATGATTTTTTTTGCCCACAGAAAGTATTATAAATTACTATTATAAATTCAGAGATGATCATTCGACCGAATTCACGGATTTTATGATAGAATCATTAACGTTACTTTATTTCTTTTATAAATTCTTGTAAAGGATAATATTCGTAGATTCACTTGCCATATGTGATATATGAATAAACAATATAAAGAATTCCATAAGGAATAGTTTGCGAACTTTAACAAATATATTACCTATTTTTTCGTGGATCCACCCTATTTCCGTAGACTACATTTGACCTTTTTATCGTGTTAGCCAATTAATTAATTTTTCGTATATAAAATAAAGTTAAATTTCTTTTAACTATATTTACATACAAAATTAATTAATTGGCTAACACGATAAATAGGTCTACGAAAATATATAATATATATATATATATATATTATATATAACTTTATATATATATATATATATATATATATATATATATACTGTATATATGTATATTTACTGTATAAACTGTAACTATAGTTGCTAATATTGCTTACTAAATTTACATTAGCACCATGCTCTCTACTATAATTCCAAATTTTCTAATTTTTAAATATTAAATTGGCGGAAATAATTTAAATCTTAAATTAGATTTACGGAAATAACTTTATATTTTATGGAAATTTCAATATCCTAAAATAATTTCAGCAGTCTTTCATTTACGTCAGATGCAAAATAATTTTAGGCATGTTTAATAAATAATGCCGTAGAAAAAATCGCTACCCGGATATTGTTAAAATATCCGGTTCGCCGAGAAAACTGTTTTTTTCTGATACGTACGTACAGATACAACATCTAAATTTGGTTGTTCTGTTAGCGTAGCGTTAGGTTTATCTTTAAAATATAAAAAGGAAGATTTGGTAGCAATCTAATTAAGAAAATTCTGTACCCGAATATATTAAAGGCATCCCAGGATTCTGTTACATACGTACGTACGTATATCACTATCTGCTATGTTGACAATTGGAAAGATAATCGACAATTAGCAAACAAATTAGTAAAACTGGACATGACCCAGTTCAAATCAAAAAACAAAAATAATTATACATATAGATATATATAAAAAAAACGCCAACACTATAATAAATATACCTTTTTTATTATAAACATGATCTTACGTAAAATTACAAAATCAAAAAAAAAAATTTCCAAATCGAAAATTAACGATAATAAATATAAAATATAATATATAATAAATTATTCAATTCTAACAATTTTTTTTTTTCCAAAAAAAAAAAACTATATATTTAAAAGTAAAAGAAAATAAAAAAAAAAAAAAACACAATTTCATTTTGTTAAAAAAAAACACAATTTCATTTTGTTATCAAATATACTCTTCAGCATCTACAAACTCATCATCATCTTCTTCACTATCACTAAACTCATAACTATCTACAAATATTTCCTCTTCTTCTTCCTCCTCTTCTTCTTCCTCCTCTTCTTCATCGTCATCATCACCAGTAACCTCATAATCATCATTTATAACTAAGGAAGTCATTATACTCGATTTTGGTATATTAGTTTCCACCAGTGGTAATGAATCATTTTCCTTGATAATGTTATTAAATACATCAGATGGACTATTATCCGTTATGGATAAAGCTTCTATAATTCTAGGATCTATTGTTTGCAAATCTATTATATCAGATCTATCTTTCATCGAATCAATATCATTATTAATATCAACTTTTACAATATTATGATTGTTATTTTCAAAAGTAAATGATTCAACATCATCATCTTTAATATCATCTAAATTATTAACTTTTCCAACATTTTCAAAACCTAAATCAAATTCTGAAGCATTTCCATGACGATATACAAATTCTTCTTCATCATGTTGAGAAACTGTAGTTTGACTTGAACCTCCACCATAACTATCACCTCCATTACTTGAATATTGCATCGATGATAATGATGATGTAGAACTTTTTGGTAATAAAGACATTGGTACAGTTCGATTTTTTTCATTCTTTCCTTTATCTTTTACTTCACCTTTATTATCATCATCACTTTTAATAGTTATCGAAGGTGAATTTGAAGATTTAATAGTATTTGTAGTATTAAAATCATCATCATTATCATAACCAAAAGATTTAGTTATATTAGTCATATCAGATATATCTTTTATATCTTTTATATCTAATAATTTTTTAGGTGGATCCTTATTTTCAGTATTCAAAATTGATGACATCATTGCTGAAACTCTATCATCACCACCCGTTATAGATCCAATTAAAGAAACATTATCTTCTGAACTACTTTCACCACAAAGTCTATACATACTTCTTCTATTTAACCAATATCTATCATCTTCCATTACTGTAGCACATAAATCTTTTTCTAATATTTCATGATAACATACTAATCTTGATAATTCTAAACATGTATGTCGAAGTTTAGTTGCTACGTTATTCGCAATTTGTATTATTCGATCTCTTGTTGATGTTTTATAAGGAATCATGAGAAATAGATTATTACGAAATCGAACTTCATTTTGAAGTTGAGCAGTTAAAGTTGAAATTTTTCCTTGAAGTTCTTCGATTTTTGACTATAAGAAATATAAAGTGAATAAATAAAGTGAATAAATGAAATAAATAAATAAATTGAATAAATGAAATAAATGAAATAAATGAAATAAATGAAATAAATGAAATAAATAAATAAATAAATAAATTGAATAAAAAATAATAACTTACGCGTAACAAGTTGGCACGCCCTTGAGCATCTTTAGCATTATCTTCTTTTAATCTAGGAAAAGTTCTATATTTATCATTTCCTCTTTTCGCATCTCTTCTACTAATACCCGAATTTCCAAATTTAATTCCATCTAAATTCCTTTTACTAATAGGATTATTATCATCTCTTTTTTTATCATTATTTCCATTATTTAATCCATTACCTAAACCTAAGCCTAAACCTAAACCATTACCTAAACCAGTATCATTATCATTTTCATTAACATCGATAATTTTAAATAAAGAAGCACTAAAACTTGACATTCCACTAGTAATACTACTTCTAATATTTCTAATTTTTAAACCAACAGTTTTAAAAGTAGCAGCATAATTAATTTTTGATATCCAATCATTCATTTCAATTTCATTTTCAGCTTGAAATAAATATTGATGACCTTGTGGACAAACTAATCTAAATACATTTTTGTATTTATCATAGCTTTTATCGTATACCGCAACTGAATCTGCCGTCATTAGGATCGCATCAGGTTTTAAGACAGGAAGTTTCGGTGATTTCTAATATATTTTTTTTATTTGATGTCTGTTAAAATTTAAGTAATTATAAAAAAAAAATAATGACAAAAAAAAAAAAAAAAAAAAAAAATGAAAGAAAAAAAAAATAATAAAATGCATTATTTTTTTTAAAAGAAAGAAAAAAAAATTAAAATAAATACAAACCCCATTTTTTAATTCATTCATTTGTGTATTAAACCAAGCTTCATCTTTAAAAAACATTAATTGACTTCCACTTAATATAACACCATATAATTTCCAATTTCTTCCACCTTTCTTTTTACCATCAATTAAATCAATTTTTCTTCCAAGTTTACCACCTTTTGTTATTTTTAAAAGAAAAGTTCCATCTTTTGAAGGTTGAAATGAACTAGTTGTAGTACTAAATGAATCACCATTACGTCTATTTTGAACACCAGTAATACGAATTGTTTGAGCGGATGAGAATGAACGATGAAGATTTGCTATGTCTAAGGATGGAAGTGTACCAATGTAAGAATAAGGATTTTCGACAGGAATTATATCTTTGATGTATGGTTTGAATTCAGTAGGTTGTTTCTATTAAATTTTTTATTTTTTATTTTTTTTAAAAAAAAAAAAATATTAAAATTACTTGTAAATTAATAAGAAAATAGAAAAATTTTTTATAAAAAAATGAACAATTAACCTACGGTCTGTATCACATAGTAAGGATCATTTCTAGGACGTAATGATTTTCTTTTATCTTTTGAAGAAGAAAAGATCTTTAATTGACGATGATCAGTGGTTGGAGATTCAAGCATTGTTTGTCCATTAACATCCACATCATCTTCAGCATATATAAATTGAGTATATACAATATTATCGTAAAGAATCTAATATTTAAACATTTTAATAAATATTAAGTAATTGTTATAGTATAGCTAAAAAGATATTATATTACAGTATATGCAGCGAGAATTACCTCTAATATTTCAGGATGTACACCATCAATACGAGTATTTTTTATAAATTCTTCTTTTGTCATTTTTCGTTTTACATTTTTATTAAAAGCGTCAGTATGAAGCATTAACAAGGAAAAGGCCACAACATATGGAGTATCTAAGATTTAATAAAAAGAATTGATAATATATATTTGATAATATATATTTAATTATTAAATATTATTAAAAAAAATATAATTATTATTATTGTTATTGTTATAAACATAAAATAATTTACCTGCAGAGGCAAATAAATCAGGATTCAATTCATGATATCTCTTTGCAAAAGCTTCCATAACTCGATCGATTTGTTGAGTTTCTTTTGGTAAATGACATTCCATTAGTAATTTCCTATAGTTTATTATTAAATCACGCGTATTTTAGGTATTTAGCTAAAACGATAAGCTATTAAATATTTTCAAAATACTATTTAATGCTATTTAAAAACGCTATTGAATACTACTAAAATCTATTAAATTTATTAAAAAAATATTATTAAATGATATTAAATATTACATACCTTAACGCGATATCAATAGGGTCTTTTTCAAAATCAAAAGATTCCATATAAGCTTTAAGAGCAGCTTGATGAAACGCGTCAGGTCTATCATATATTGAAAATAAGCGATAATAAAAATATTAAGAATATTAAAAATATTAAAAATATTAAGAATATTAAGAATATTAAGAATATTAAGAATATTAAGAATATTAAGAATATTAAGATGATAATAAAAAATAAAGTCAAATTAAAAAAAAAAAAATACGTACTTCTTGGCAAGCATAGTAGCTAAATTCGATTTTGAAAGAGTATAACGCATCCTTTCAAGATATTGTATTGGAGTTTCAGAACCAGGTTTAGTATCAATTTTTGGATTTATATTATTAATACTAGTATTATTATTTAAATTTGTTAAAGATTTAGCAGTAGGAATAGAATTTTTTTCAATTTCATCAATTGTCGAAACATTAGGAGTATGTATTACAGGAGCAGATTCCATACGTTTAAGATGATGATGTGGTTTTCGAGATTTTAGATAATTTGGAATATTATCATTTTGAGAATTAATATTGTTCGATAAAATTTTTTTTGAAGAAAAAGGAATTTGTTTTGAATGATCATTTGAAGAACCATCAAGGTCAGAAAGATTTTTTGAAGGAAATTTAGTTGTTGTTGAAGTATCATAAATACTACTATTACTAGTAATTGGAGAAATAGAACTATTATTATTATTGATATTATTATTAATATTATTATTAATATTATTATTAATATTATTATTAATATTATTATGAGCAATTTTCTTCGTATCATCAATAGGGAAATTAGAACTGGCAGTGAGGAGGCCGCCATTTTCATCAGGTTCAAGAGGAGAAAAACTAAAATCCCCTAGATCAAGATAAAGAGGACCACTTCCATCAGTATTTTTAGCCGAAATAGTGGTAGTAACGGTAGTAACAGTAGTAGTAGTAGTAGTTCTCGTTATTGTTGCAGCATCAGCAGCTACTTCGGAAGTATTGGAAGCCTTACTGTCTTTCTGTATTACGAGTTTTGGAATTATTTTTGTGGAAGAAGTCTTTGAGGAAGAATTAACATTTCGACGCGATATTTGAGGGATCGTATTATTGTTGGAGTTTGATGTTGATAATGATGATGATGGTGATGTGAATTGTTTTCGTTTATTTGTTGAGAACATATTATATTTTTTTTGTATATTGATTTACTGTATTGATTTTTTATTACTCGTCAAATCTAAATTTAACGAATATGCGAATTATATGTAAATAAAAAAAATTTTTTTTTGGGAAATAAAAAAAAGTTGACAAGTGTGAGCCCACCAAATCTTTAACTGAACCAAAGACACAGTCTTTGAAAAAGTAAAACAAGAACCGATAAAGAAAAGATAAATATATGTAATGTAAGTAATGCAACAGTAGTTTTGTATTTTTTTTTTTTTTTTTATATATTGTTGTTTTTGGCACTTTCAACGTTAAAATATAACATAAACATATCTCGCTAACAAAAAAAAATCTATAAAAATCTATATATGTACTTAAATATATATATACGTATATATATATATATATATATCTAAATATATTATATATAGATAATATATATTATATATTGTTTTTTTATATCGTTAAAAAAAAAAAAGATATACGACGAGATAGTATTGCGGTTTGCGTAAATGTTCCGAGGATTATATAGGCGTTTAAAAATGAAGGAAATTTTTTCTTTTTTTCGAGTGTAGAAAATAGATCGTCATAAATTTGAAAGAAGTTGTTAAAGTTTTTCAAGAAATTAAAGGAATCTTATTGGTTAATGATAAGCAGAATAGCAGTTACACGCATGATATGATTGGGACAAATTTATGCTGATATTTTATGTATTACCCTGCTTATTTCCTGCATTTTATTTCGCTTGTGTTTTTTGTGATTTATATAAGTGAACTATATATTCTTATTGAATGCATAATTCGTTTACCTTACCGGTAAATATTTGGAATGGTACAAAATGATGTTAAAAGTTTCCCACAAGAATCTGCAAAAATATGTATGATCTACGTCACAATTTTTACTATTTCGAAGCGAAAACCGAAATTCAAAAAAAGAAAAAGATTTGACAAAGTATATATATAATTTTAAATACAGTATATAACTAACAAAGGGGAAGTAATTTAAATCGAAAATGATATTCAAGATATTCAGGTACAGAACCGGTAATCAGGAATGATTGCTTTTAACCAAATTCGATAGGGCATTGTTATAAACTGATAAACTTGCATGCATACTCCGCCGGTTTGCCAAAATTTTGCCTTTTCAAGGAACATTTTTACTGCCCTTTATGTGTATCTTGTTACCTTTAAAATGTTGAATTTCAGGCTTTTAAACAAACAAGAATGCATATTATTTTAATTATTATATTAAATATTTCTTTTTACGTATGTACAAGTATCAATATTCGGTAACGGTAAGCTTTGTAAAGAACGATCTGGTCTTTTTAATTAATTATATGTAATCAATTTTAGATGTAATAATATTTAATTTTTAAATGTATAAAAAAGGATTTTTGACAATTGAACATTTCATTGAACCATTTTCCATTGAACCATTGAACCATTTCAATAATCTCTCAATAATCTATCTCAATCTCAATTTATTCATTTTATTCAATCTGATTTACAAAACACAATAACTACTAATTTGTACTATAGAAATACTGCATAATATTGTAGATAAGTAAATAAATAAAATACAGTACACTGTAGTATATTATATTATATATATATATATATAATATATATATATAATATATATATATATTATAATTTAAGTTTACATTCTTAACTATCTATACAGCTATAGCGACGATTTAGGATTTGATTGGTGGAAATTTCCACGTGCTAAACAAATCGAATTTAGCGAAAATATACTGAAATAGTGTGTGAAAATTGTGAAAAAAGAGGCATGTTAAATACGAAACAGAACGATGTTATTCATTCAAAGTATTATTAAATGATATAAGGATCTCTACAAATACTATAGTGAGCCATTTAAGCTACTATAGATAGTTTGTAGATGCAAATTCGTGATAGTAAGTTTAGTTTCTTACGAATAATTTATAATCTACTAACATAACAGATAATATATAATTATTATTCATCATTTGACGTGATAACTTCAAATGGCTAAGCTTGCCTTTTATTAATTGTATAATATATTGGGTTTGTTTGGTTATTACGTAGTTTAGAAAATATTTTTGTTTGGTTATTATGTCGTTTAAAAATATATATTTTTATGTTAATACTGTTAATATTGTCAATACTGTCTGCGAACACAAATATTATTTATTGTACACAAAAAAATTCAATGTTCATGAACATTGAGATCGCTAATTTCGATCATTTGTTATTGTATAACATCTTTAATTACTTATATATATACTAAAAAAATTTTTTTTTTTTGAATAGACAAGAATATCAATGCTATGATAATAAGTAATACTTTCGTGATAAATATTAATATTAAGTGATTATCGTATACGTAACTATGCTGTAATAACGTTTAATTACGACTTTTACGCTGCAACATGACCCTTGACATACGTACGACTTACATAAATTACGTATCTGCATATTTGATTGTAACTTCAAAAAACATTATATACTGTATAATGATCTGAGAATGGGTTATATATCATAGTTGACACAATAATACATTATTTCTCTTCTTTTCAAAAAATAGATTCTTATATTTTAACTGTTAAGGTGTGGAAGACTCTGACTCTAGATGCTTTGGGCTCAAAAAAATTACTTGTTAGTATTTTTACTTTTCTTATTTCGCTTTTCGTATTTCGCTTTTCTTATTTCGCTTTTCTTATTTCGCTTTTCATATTTCGCTTTTCGTATTTCGCTTTTCTTATTTCGCTTTTCATATTTCGTTTTTCATATTTCACTTTTCGTTTTTCGCTTTTCATATTTCACTTTTCGTATTTAATTCTTCATACTGAATAATATTTTCCATTAACCTATTATATTCCAGATCCATATCCCAGATCCGTTGAGAATTGGTGTTTCCGTTTATTCATATACGTACTGATCTTGATATAGTATTAGTTGAAAAAGTGCTAATAAAATATTAATTAAAGTACTACAACAAATTGACAATAGATCGTTCATTTATGTTCATTGATGTTTCTATTTTTTGAAACATAAAATAACTTAATTATTAAAATTCATGATCGACATGTTTTTTATTCCATTGAGGTAATGCGTAAAAAGTTGTTTTTTTTAATTAATGATTTTAATTATTTTAATTATTAATGATTTTTAATATAGGTAACTCGATTTTTCTTTCGAAACATCTTTTTTTATGCAATCCAACTGAAGTCACCAACAACTGCACCAGTAGACTGATCATCAGTGGTACTTATTTCTTAATTGTAACTATTTAGTTGACCATATGATACTGACTTGTAAAAATTTAATTAATTAATGTTATTTTTATCATCACCTTTATTGTTATCTTTATTGTTATCTTTATTGTTATCGTTATACTTAATGTGGTTATTAATGAGTTTAATAACTTCATTCCTCCAATATTTTCTTTTACACAAAGAACGTAAAATTTCTATAGATCTCGCAATTACTGTATTTCCTTTTTAATTCCTTGTTGAA